CTACATCTAGCCAGCTCAACAGTAAATTGACGGGACCTCGACGCCAATCTAGTACTGCGCTTAAATTCATACAGTCTAGGTATTATAGGGAAGAGGTCATTCAAACAATCAACATAAAAGTATTTATAGAAAAGGCGCAGAGGGGCAACTTTTCGGCGGTGAGACTAAAGCCGAGTTGTCAGATCAGGACCAATAATATTGCTGATTCTTTGGATTTTATCATGGATATCAGGTAACTAGAAGGGGCATCAGCCCATATGTACCAACAATATACTAAGTATGGATGAATGGTAGACTTATACATAGGTAAGATTCCGGAGAGAAAAATTGTCTCGTACGACACAGTGAACCAACTTTCTTAGCAGCTGACCTAGAAATGAATTCAATATAGTCTTTCTATTTCATGTCAGCTCAGATTGTTGGCCCGAAAAGGCGCAACGAGTCACTTTTTTGGTGGTTAGCATCAGCCATGTTGATGGAAGGCAAACAGGGGTCTCTCAGGTTATTAATGGAGAGAAGTTTAGTTTTGGAGGCGTTAAAATTAACAAGCCATATCTTGCTCCAGTTAACGATGAACTTGAGGTAGTTTTAGACATCGGTTGCCATTTTGACCTCCACGCACAGATCAGCCTGATATATCTTCTCAGAACCTCTGACTTTCGTTGTAAATTAAAATCTCGGTTCATTCATTTTTTCAATATTTATTAGCAGAACCCATGGAAATACCACTGATCTTGTTAACTTAGATTACATCATTACTCTGCTTTTTTTTCACCTGTATCTTCTCATTCTCTCCCTTATCCATTCCAATTCTCGTTGCTCGCCTAAGTTTTTATCTAAATGTTACAGGAACGAATATTATTTCTGTCTGATATTCTGGGACGAGGAGTTTTCTTTATTTAAATCATTTAAATTCCGACTAATGTCCTCATCTTTGTTCTTATTATCACAATGTTCCAACCGGCCTTTTTCAGGCGCCTGTCAGTTTGGGTAACCTTCAAGGAATTTTGAATTGAACTCTTATTTAATCAACCGGGGGTATTGCTTTCGTTTCATTGTCCATGATATCTTGTTTTTTTTTTATTTCGTACTGTTCAGTTAATGCTAACCCTGTAGATTAAATTTCTGAAAGTTACCTAGATTGACAAACACCTGAAGAAGACCGGAAGGCAGAGCATTCGAAACGTTATGAGATCGACAAAAAATGTGACAAGATTGGTTCGAATTGAAATAATGTAAATAATAAAACAAAAATTAGATTCCTAAAAAAAAAAAAAAATGAAATCGGGAAAAAAAAAGGCGCAAATATTTTCTGCTGTAACCTCTCGCTTATCTTTCTTATGCTCTTTTTCGCCTTAAAGAATTTTAATGTATCTCACTTTGACGCCTTTTAATGCTTGCTTACATTTCAGTTTTTCTCTCATTGTTTTAATATCCATCCATAAAGCATGTCTGTGTTTCTCTTTCGTCTCCATCACTTTATCGTCTCCCTTTCTCCCCTCTTCTCTGTCTACGTATATATTTATTTTTTCCTTTCACCTAGTTTCCTTTTTTCTCTAGCTTCATTAAAATCATACATTTTCACAACCACTTTCCTCTTCCTCACATTGGCAATTCCTACCTGATTATTATTATTATTATGTAGGTTTCTCGGACGGAAAGCATAACTGATTCCAGCTCATAAAAACAAAGAAAAAACCGAGGATCGTGCTGATACTACACTCTAATCCGTTATTTACCTATTTCTCCATGTAGGATATCGCACAAGGTCGGTTTAACGTCGGGTGCCTATACGCGTACTTACATACCTAGGGCAAATATTATACAATACTTACGATTATACTGTCGTTCGTATTTCCCAAATTCTCTTTCTTTTGTGCAATGGGGGAGGTGCTGCCGCTGATTTTGAATCCCCGGATCCCAAACATCTTCATAGCGAAGAGGGACAGATACTACACAGACGGGGGGGGGGTGGCGTGCGTTTGTATTTACCCAACTCTCCACGGTAGTAGCATGTGACACACGGTCTTTTTTAATTTGAGCTGCCCATATGCGTACATATGTACAACGGATGAAAACTGCGCAGTCTCCGAGGCTACTGTCACGCTGGCGTTGGTATCCATCAACCATCTTTCCTTAGTGCTTGATTGCAACAATGAAGGTGCTGTTCCAGGGATGGAATCTCTGGAATCAAGCTTCCTTTAAGAAGAAGAGAAAACAAATACTGCACACTTATCCCAGCCTGAGTACCGGGTAGCGTTTCCTCTGATCTCAGATAGAAAAACGTAACGGTTGTACATCCAAACAAGCCAAATAGTAATATAAAGTAGTCACTGTTTTGCAATCTTCTATGTGCCGTGTCCCTTTAGGTCATAGGCGATCACGACTCTCCACAACTTCCTGTCATTTTGTAGGTTTGAGTAAGATTTATTTTTTGGTATCCTATAAAAAGTTTTACCAATCGTTTACATAAGTTCGTTAGGTAGGTTATTCGTTGTTCTCCTCTGTCCCTCTTACCTTTAAGATGTCCTTTGAGTGTCAATATTTCTAAGCCGTCTTTCCTTATTATGCGTCTTAGAAATTTTGGATTAATTGTCAACTTCCGTTTTGTATTAATTATCTACCTGCATGGATTTTCACAACTTCCTGATTATTGTACATTTACAAAGCGTTCTTTCCTAGCCACCTTTTATCCTGATGGTCCTTAAGTGACCAGTTCTTTAACACAAGAGATTCTCTTAACTCCGATCCCAAGCCCTTATCCAATCAGCACACTTTATAGGATGCCCACCTCTTCAATCAGTAACCAAGCCTATATCTCCATTCCAGCAATCAAAGAGTATGAATCGTGATCTGTTGCTGAAGGACCTTTATCTGCAGAATGCCGAGCTGATGAGATCATTGCAACACATGGAAGAGCAACTGAGGTCAGCGGATCAGAAGAACTTGCAATTAGAAGAGAAATGCCGGGTGCTGGACAAAGTTTTACAAAAGGTGTGCTCCTCGTCCGTCTGTTAAAAACAAAAAAAAAAACAACAAAAAACAAAAAAAAAACTCTAATTTTTTTTGATGACCAAGTTCATGCCTTCCTTCCCTCTTTGGCCAATTTTTAATGGCTGATGTTTCAGCTCGTCCCAGCTTCCCTAGCCACTCGCTAAAGTCGACCAACCAGTAGGAAGTTTTTCTTCTCTACACGTGTGCGTTTGTAGCGTTCTGCCACCGAATGTATGCATGTGCGTACACGTTGGTGTGCGTATATATGCACGCTTCTGTTCATCGTTTTCATATTTATTCCGCATGTATATTGCGAATGAGAGACGAGAAAGACTGTCTTGATGGTTTGCTTCTGGATTGATGCCTTCGAATAATCCGGGTTGCACGGGGTTCTTGTCACTAAGCAAGTTAGGATTTTGACAAGCACTCCGGTTACTCAATATTTACGCAAGGATTAGTAATCAAGTTGTTTAAATGGTTGTTTAAATTTTTTTTTTTTTTTGCTTGGGTCCAGTAAATAGAAAAAGAAAGGACATTTCATTGTAACTATTAGAGTTGATACAATTCTAAAATACAATATAAAATTATCTGTTTCGTATATCTGAGTTTTATTTTCTTTTTTCTTTTTTTCCTTTCTTGATTGTTTCTTTTTTTTTTTTGAGTTGCATAAGCGACACTGAGATAAATAACGGAGTCGCTTAGGATTTAGTCAAAATTGAGTACAGTTGTTTCTGGGCGATTTGCTTATCAAACAAAATAAATATAGATAACGTTTATGAAATAAACAAAGCGTCGCATTTTGCGCGCTGATCGTTAAATTCTAGACAAGGCCTTGTTTTCATTTTCGTTTCGTGGTAAAGAAAAACAGTTTACCATGGAATTCGGCAATCAACATTTTCGCTTTATCCAAATGCAATTCAAATCTGCCTTGGTCGCGAGTAAAGGGATGTGTTCACCGAAATACGCCATCTTAGATAAGTGTGCGTTAGACTCGCTGGATGTGTGTATTTCGAGTACTGGGTGTTTTTTTTAAGCGTTTCACCCCAAGCAAGGCGAGAAGCCACTAGGACGCAAGGGGTTATAGAAAATTAGGAGCAAGATCAGATAGGAGTGATAGAAGAAAGGATGAGGAGAAGGGTAGTGGATAGATCAAGGCAACTGGAGATGTCGATTGGCATTACATTTGAATACCTGGAGATTATAGCTCTCAGGGAAACTGGAATAGGGAAGGGAGTTCCACAGGCGAGAGGTGCGAGACATGAAGCTATTGGAGTAGAAAAGACGGCTACATTTAGGAGTTTCGACAGTGAAGGGGTGAGAGTGGGATGCCAGCCTCGTAGGGCGCTTGAACTCATGAAGTCTGGGAACCAGCTCCTCGGAGCAATTGCCATGAAATATTTGTAAAGCAGACAGAGAGAGAGAGGCGACAGCGCGTCTTTGAGACAGTGACTGTAGACGAGATGCCAGAGCAGGGCCAATTATATTGCATATCCGCCTCTGGAACCTATCAAGAACCCCGAGGCAAACAGAAGGGGCTCCAGACCATATATGGCAGCAATACTTCATGCAAGGGCGAATTGTTTGCCCGAGTGTTCGCGACTCTTCGTATATTTGATGATATTCATAAATTTTAAGCGAAACATGTTTTACTTCTGGGTTGTATAAGGGCTTGAATGCCTTCATGAATTATGCCTGACTTAAACTAGAAAGATCACAAATAAGTATACATCATTGTCTGCGTGTGTCTGCCATTTTGCTTTTGACGTTGGCCTAACGCGTGTTTGTGTATGCGCGTGAACGATGCGCACGACGTAATTTTCCATTTCAGCGTCCCTCGTTTTTGCTTCGGTTACTACTTAAGTTTAATGGTCCGCTCGTAAAAGAAATATGGAATAATTAATTTTTTAATCACCATTCGTCAGACGTTCTCCGAGACACGACATTTGTCAGAATCGAAAAATATCGATTTTGTTTTATCATATTAGAAGGGGGGGGGCGCAGGTTCATCATATAAATAGGCTATCACCGGTTCCCGTGCGATCATCGAAGTTAAGCAACGTCGAGCTTGGTCAGTACCTGGCGGGTGACCGCTAGGGAATAACAGGCGCTGTAAGCTTGGATGTGCGGGTGGCGCAATGGATAATAGCTCAGAATTGTTAATCGGACAGTCGAGTTCTAATTTCAGATGGGTTCGTTTTATTCCCTTTGGCGCAGATACCATTGGGAAAGGGATGAATCCACCTTTTCTCCTCCCAGCTATGGATTAATAAGTAAAACTTGTATCACTAAATTATTATTAAAAAAAAACAACATTATTACAATCCAAAACAAAAAAAAAAATTCTGGCTTTAATTAACCTGCAAATGGTTAATAAACCGCAGAAAATGAATGAATCAATCATAATATAAATACTTTGTTAAATATTTTGACTAGACTGCACTAACATAAAACACTTTGATTAAAATAAAAATCATTTAAATTTTAATTCAGTTTAAAATAAATCAAACTATTTTGCTTATCGGAAATATTAACAGATTGCGACAGCTCCTATGGGGATGTGATTAAATATACTTTAATGTTTAAAAAAATATTCAGTATTTCTATTATTTACGTAATAAGCATTATAACATAGCACAAATATTTATATTGTAGAAAACTAAGTGAAATTACCTGAAAATACAATTCAGTTTCATTGATGTGTTTGCTAGATTAAAAAGAGCACTTGAAAATGTTTCTAGTGAAACAATTAACCATTGTATACCAAAAAGCTATAAAATGCTTAATTTATATTATGAGGGCATAAAAAACTAAGATGTATCTGAAGATATCTGATTCAGATCTCTCTGCTACTAGTGATTGTGACTCTTTTTTTAGTAATATGAATTACTTTTATTTTCTATTAATTAATAAATTTAAAATTATACATTAATTTACTAAATTTTTGAATGAATAACTATTTGTGCTCAGTTGTTGACATTAATATCTATCTGCTGATGGATTAAAATTTTGAAATAATGCAATATTAAAATTTTTAATTTTCTCTCTCTGATAAATGTTGTGATCTATTAAGTTAAACATTTTGAGTGTCCGAAATTTTTAGATGTGTGTTGACCGGATTTAACTTCCTTCCGCTTCAGTTTTTTCTTTTTTTTTTTAATATCCTACGTTGTAATTGCCGTAATAATGATCCTGGATGTAAATTTACTGCATAAGACTCAGGAATTAGTGCACTTTCAATATATTTCCGCTTTAATCCTCCAACTGACAAAAATGATAAATTTAGATTCAAAGGTAAACGACATCTTTAGAGTTTGCTCGATGTAAAATTGTAGCTGATGTTTGTTGTATTTCGTACCCAGACATTTTTTTAAAAATCGGAATCCCCCCCAATCAAGGCAGTAATGTTACTAAAACACAAGGTGTTACAGGATGTGGAAGAATTAGGAACAGAAACATTAATAATGAGCAGAAAGAGAAGAGAGTAATCAGGTGGACAGTAGATAGCGATTGACATTGCATTTAAATCTTTGTGTCTTCTGACCGGATCTATTCAACCTATGTAGAGAGGCAAATCTGTGAGAATTGGAAACCTTACCAGGATTCATCATTAGCGGCCGCAATCGTAACAACATAAGATACGCAGATGACAGAGTACTGATAGCAGACACGGAAAAGAAATTAAAAAATCTCCTACAGAAGGTAGCGATGGAGAGGGCGAAAATAGGACTAAACATAAACTACAAGAAAACAGAATTCATGGTCATCAGTAAAAAGATTAGCCCGAAATGCGATTAGCAGTTCGGGGACACTAAAATCAAGCAGGCGCAGAAGTTTAAAATATCTGAGAAGCGTCTTGACAGAGAACGGTAAGTGCGACATTGAAATCCAAAGACGTATTGGGATGGCCAAGGACGCATTCCAAAAGCTGGGCAGAGTATTGCGAGACAGGAGGATTTCTTTGGTATAGGACCGAAAGGGAGCTCCACAAGCGAGAAGTGCGAGAAAAAAAATTGTACTCTTACATCTATGTGATTACTGTCAGTTGTATACAACTGCTTCATAAGGTCAATGGCAAAAAGCCTTTGAACGAGTAAAGCCTGGCCGTCTTGGCAAAGATCGCCCTACTGTGAACTGGCGCTACAGAATCACAAAGAACTGCACCAAATAACCGCGATGACATCACTTGAGGACTACCAACAGCAGCAATAACTAAAATGCACAGCACATGTAACTGGACGTGAAAATAATAACATAATGAAGATGTTAACATTCCACACCACTTCAAACAAAAGGTTAGGAAGGAAACCGCCATCAATACTGGAAAGAGCGATAACAGCTAATGGATTCGAGAAATCTGTTTTCCCCGAAAAAATCGTTTTAAGAGAGAGATTTTAAAAATTTAAAACGAATACAGTACTGTCTGCTTGGCCAATGAATGCCAAATGTTTCCTTATAGGGAAACGACTACTACTACCAACAATAAAAAATATTAGTTTGAAGAAGTCCTTTCAAAGGATGAAACGTGTCATATTTTTTTCATTCAGGTACTAATTATCAATCTGATATGTAGAATTGTATATCGTATTCCCATGTTGTCAAATTTAGAATTTCAGCATTTTTCTACCGAGAAATCATAGAAATATGATTTTTTTTCTTTTTTTTTACTTAGACGAATATAAACAGTACGTTAGCAATAAATAATATTAATAAATAATATTAATGAATAATATTAATAAATAATAATAATAAATAATAAATAAATAATATATAATATAAATATGAATATAATATAAATATAAATATAATATAAATATATATATAATATAAATAAATATAAATATAATATAAATAAAATAAATAAATAATAATAATATTAATAAATAATATTAATGAATAATATTAACAACTACTTTTTCTCAGTTTCAGGATATTGAGCACTTGGCCATCCTTATGCTGGGCGCCGCCAATTTAGTCACATCTTTGTCTCTTCATCAGCTCTGGCCGGATATCTAGCTTTCCCGCCTTTTCCACCTTTCGCCATGCAATACACTAGTCACGTGATCGCCTCCGCATTTTGTCATTAGCTTCATATGGCTTCTTTTTTTTTTTTTTTTTTAATCAGCTTTCTTTTCTGAATCGGGTCATATCAGCAAAAAAAAAAAAACAAAAAGAAAAAAAAAGAAGAAAAAAAAAGAAAGAAAAGAAAAAAAAAAGACTTCTTTGTCATTCAGTCACTTAAACACCATCCCCTGATACACGCTTGAGCGATCATGTCTTTTTCGGTTCATGACTGACTAACTAGGCAGTATATTTTCCCAAGGCAATAGGACCCAGTCTGTTCGGTTATCCAGACTATAGCTGGGAGTGGGGTGGCGGAGATTAGAGAAGAAATGGATTCGTACCTCTCTCAAGGGTATTTGCGCGTAAGTAAACGTAACGAACCCGACTGGAATTCGAACACTGTTGTCCGTTGTATTATTCCGAGACGTTAACCATCACGTCACCCGCACAACCATTTTAGCACGAATAAGCCTAAGGTTAAATTTACAAAATTCTGCGTTTCGCTACTTCTGACATTTTTTTTGCGGGGAGGGCTACTTTTAAAAATAAGCTGAGCTAACTTGGGTTACTGTGGAGAGCTATGATCGTCAACGTCCTAAAGGGACACGGTACCTAGAAGAAGGTGGAAAAGAAAGGCAATTCAAATTGTGTTACTCTGGGCTTTCAAAATATAGCACCGCTGCTTGGGACTATCCACTCTTGATCAACACTTCGAATTCACGACATACCAATAAAGGGGGTGGAAACAACAAAGACAACGATATCAGTCCGAAAATGAAACAATATAGAATTTTGTTTAAGAAGTTAGTTATTTCTTTTCCAGTTTTGGAAAAATATTTCTACATTATTTACATTATTCGGACTATTGTCCTCATCTTTGTCGCCATATTTATCACAACGTTTCGGCCGTTGTACTCTCCGGCCTCCTTCAGGTGGTTGGAATGTCGAACTGAACTCTTTATTTCGCTCGCTAGGGTAGACTGTTCTAGTTCCACGAGCCATGTCTAATGGATGTCAGTTATCAGTTATCTTCTATTAATTCCCCTCTCCAAGTTCTCCACTGCCGTAACCACTGTGCCATGTGTCGTCAAGGACACATGGCACAGTGGATAAAGGCGTTAGTTAGATTCAGTGACAGGAGTGTGAGTTCAATACCCGGTTAAGGCAGTGGAGAGCTTGGAGAGGGGAATTAACAGGAGATAACTGACAACTGACATCCATTAAACATGGCATGTGAAGTAGAACAGTTTACCTCAGTGAGCGAAATAACGGATTCAGTTCGACATTCCAACCACCTGAAGAGGGCGGAGCGTATAACGGTCGAAAAGTTGTAATAAATATAGCGACAAAGATGAGGACAATAGTCCGAATAATGTAAATAGTGTACATAATACCTCATCTCAGAAATATAGACAGATACTGAATGATCGGATAAATATGGTGACAAAGATGAGGACAATAGTCCGAATAATGTAAATAGTGTACATAATACCTCATCTCAGAAATATAGACAAATACTGAATGATCGGATAAATATAGCGACAAAGATGAGGACAATAGTCCGAATAATGTAAATAGTGTACATAATACCTCATATCAGAAATATAGACAGATACTGAATGATCGGATAAATATGATGACAAAGATGAGGACAATAGTCCGAATAATGTAAATAGTGTACATAATACCTCATCTCAGAAATATAGACAGATACTGAAGGATCGGATAAATATGTCGACAAAGATGAGGACAATAGTCCGAATAATGTAAATAGTGTACATAATACCTCATCTCAGAAATATAGACAAATACTGAATGATCGGATAAATATAGCGACAAAGATGAGGACAATAGTCCGAATAATGTAAATAATACCTCATCTCAGATATATAGACAGATACTGAAGGATCGGATAAATATGGCGACAAAGATGAGGACAATAGTCCGAATAATGTAAATAGTGTACATAATACCTCATCTCAGAAATATAGACAGATACTGAAGGATCGGGTAAATATGGCGACAAAGATGAGGACAATAGTCCGAATAATGT